CGAGCAGCGTCAGGACGATCTGTTCGCGAACAAGGACCTCTTCGCGCGCGGGAAGAGCGCCCTAAAGGGGCTCAAGGGCGTCGAGAATGTGTACACGCGGCACTCCCCGCACCTCCTCGAGACCGTCGACCAGCTGATGCGCGGCCGCCTGCGCGTCTCCTCGTACCCCTTTGCGAACGTCGATCCGAACGGCGTCGACGGCGGCGCCCCGGCCACGGTGCATCCCGGCGGCGCTCTGACGCGGCCGCAGGACGTGATCCTATTCGTCATCGGTGGCACGACCTACGAGGAGGCGCGCGTCGTCGCCCTGCTCAATGGTCTCGCGGCGCCCGGCGCCCGAGGCGCTCCGTCCTGGCCGGGCACCAGATTCCTCCTGGGCGGCACGACTGTGCACAACTCACACTCATTCCTCAACATGATCCAGCACACAGCGACGCGCCTTCCCGCGTCCATCACGCGGCCGCCCCCCGGCAGGGGTGGCGAGGATGCGTCCGGCCTGCAGCTGCGTCTGGGTCCTGTGCACCTGGCCGTGCCGCATCCTGGCGGTGCCGCAGCGTCCGAGGGTATTGGCCAGGTTGCCAGTGGTGCGCGTGACTTTGCCACGGGGCTGCTGGGGCGGTTGGGGGGGGGGGGGTAGGGAGAGGTGGTAACGCGTCGTGGGGGGGTGCAGGCGGTGGGGAACGAGGAGGGAAGGAATGGGCGGAAAACAGAGATGGAGAGCGGCGGGCTCTTGTTACAGCAGCGGGTCGAAAAACGCGCAGGACTCCCGCTATAGAACAAAAGCACGGAAAATACTGGCGCGTTCATGCCGCGGGATAGAGCGGCCGGTAAAAGGGGGGAATGGAAAGGGAGGGGGGGGGGAGGGTTGATGGGTGGACAAGAGAACGGAGCGGAGAAAGCCGAGGGGGGGAAGACCTACTTGGAGAAGCAGCATCGGGTGGCCGTTTTCAAAAGTGCGGTCCAAATGCGGGAGAATGCGCCGGGGAGAATCCCCGCCTGGGGTTCCTCTCGGAGAGCGCCTGCGAGGGCATGCAGAGCAAGTGGCGTCCCAACGCCAGGCGACGGACTCTACTATGTGCCGCGTGCCTCGCGAGCCGCAGAGGGCAGGATAACCCGCCGATGCGTGCTCGCGGGGGGGTAGCAGGCGGCAAGTTACGCCCCCCTTTTCTCGTCGCGCGAGCAGCAGATGCGCGGTCACTCCCTCCTCCCCTGCTCGCCAGAGCAGCGCACGACAAGCCTCTCCCGCCCAGCAGACGCCCAGCCCACATGCTCTTGCCACTTCTGCACAGTACGTACTCTTGTCACTTTTGCACAGTACGTACTACCATCCTGTACATGCAAAGATGCACGTGTGGCGCCGTTCGGCGCAACACCTACCTGACCTTACCCCCCCCCCACCCCCTCACTCCTCCGCCGGGTCCGCCAGCTGCCACGCCGGAATCGTAGGCGCAGGGCGCAGAGGCGGAGTCGTCGCATCCTCCGTCTTCTCGGCGTCCGCGTCGGCGACCGAGGGAGCCGGCGCCGCGGACGGCGTCGACGCACCCGTGGAGCCTGCGCCCGTGACGCCGCCGCGCGACACGAGCAGGGAGCGGAGCGACTTGAGCTCCCCCTGCAGGTCGACAAGGGCATTCACCTGCGAGCGCTTGGAGCGGGTGAGGAGGTCGTTGAACTCGGAGCGCATCTCGTCAATCTGCGTCTTCATCTCGTCCATGTCCTGGTCGCGCCTGTCCTCGCGTACGCGCACGTCGCGGACCATGTCGTTCACGTCGTGCACGCTCTTCTCGATCTCTGCGCCGTGCTCGGCGAGGCCCGCGCGGATAGCCTCCGTGGTCTGATCGAGCTCCTCCAGATGCACGGCGACCTCGTCGTACTTGGCGGTAAGTTCGTCGCGCTCCGCCTCGAGCACTGTCTGGTTGGGCGGCTGCAGATGCGGGAGCAGGTAGCGCTGCAAGTCAGCGCGTCCGCACGACGCCACGCACCCGCGCGAGCGCCACGACGCCGTAGCCCACCGTGCCGGACACGACCGCCATAATGAACCAGTCGCGCCAGTCGCGCCGCGGCGGCGCCACGCGCGGGTACGCGGGCATCAGCATAGGGTACGGCGCGCCTGCGCGCGGCCCTTGCACCGCCCCCGCCGACGCCGCATCCGCGGCATGCGCAAGCGCCATGTCAATCTCCTGTGGAGACATGCCCTTGGCCTCCAGGAACTGCACGCGCTGCGACAACGACGAGCTCTGAACCTTGGGGTCCTCGAGGAACGCCACGGCCGACTGCACCATGTCGCTGCGCGGCGGCTCGCCGCGCGGCGGCTCCGCGCCTCCGGGCGCCGGACCACGCTCCGTCATCGTTCTCGCCACGCGGCCCCGGCCCCCGCCGTGCGGCGGGCGGGGCGGCACGTGATGTGCAGTTGCCGCAGGGCGCGGGCTCGGCGCGGCTTCCTCCGTGCGGCGTCAGACCGCGGCGTCTTCGCAGCAAGGTATGTGGCGCCGGGCGGGCCCGCGAGGATTAGCATTCTATTCACACTGTCTGAGTCTGAAAAGACGGTGACGGTGATTTCTCAAACTACAACGGTATATGAGCGACCGCCCGCCCGTATGCGCACGTACGCGCTGACGCCACAGGAACGCCGCCCGCGAGTGCAGAGCGCCTGCCAGCATGGCGAACGCGCCGGACCGCTTCACGCTGTTCCTCCTGCAGCCGGGGGAGCGCCGCATCGAGGTGCAGGAGGACATGCGTGTGCCGAATGCGGCGACCTTCTACTTCAACAAGGAGGACCACACCCTCGGCAACATGCTCCGCCACGCCGTCCTCTCCGTGCCCGGTGTCCTGTTCTGCGGCTACAAGGTCCCGCATCCGCTCGAGCCCCGCGTCCTTGTTAAAATCCAGACCGACGGCACGCAGACGCCTGCCGAGGTCCTGCAGCACGCCTGCACAAAGATGATCGTGGACATCGGCACGCTCAAGCAGGCCTGGGCGAAGGAGCTCCGTCTCAGTGCCGACGGCACAGGCAACTATCCCGCATCGCAGCTCTGGGGCACTTACCCTGCGCAAGCGCCTGCACAGGACGCCCCGCCGCCCTCTGATGCGTACGCGCACGAAGACCGTCCCGGAGGAGACGCCATTCGGGGGTATGTGGATATATAATGGTCCTCTGCTGCCGCACGCGCGGGGAAGTTTAGCGGGCCACCGTCGCCCTGCGTGGGTGTGGTAGTTGTGTACGATAGTGGAGGGAGGATCGAGGCGTGCGCGCCGTGCAGGTATACGATGCACCAGGGCAGCACGAGACCGGACCCATGGGCGGTTCGCCGGGAAGAGGGGCGGAGAGGTGTCGGGGGTATGGGACGTGGGCGGCCATTCCCCGTGGTGGATGGTGGGGGTTCTTGTTGACGTCGCCCCTCCACCCCCCCCTTTCACACTCTCCCCCCATCTTGGTTCCCCTCCCGAGACGGCCTCGTTTATGCGGCGTCCGCGCCGGGTGGATTCTCCCGGGGGCTGCCATCCCGCATCAGGCAATCCCTCCCCAGGACTGCCCACCCGCGCCAGGCGGACTCTGCCGGGGACTGCGCTCCCGACTGCCCTCCCTTTCACACACAACACCTCTGTCATCGGTCCCGGCCTCCACGTCGCCCCCCTGCCCTCCTCCCCCCCCCTGCCCATTGCCTCCCGCCGCCTCCCCCTCCCCCCCCGCGTCGTCCACCAGCACAATATGCAGCCTACTGTCAGCATGGCGCTTTGCGCATTGCTTACCATCCATCTGCGTACGCCAAATAGCCCGCGAGCCACGCGAGTTCCGCAGCAGGCGGAAGCGTGATGCCATGGAGAACGGCGCGTGTCTCAGACGTGCATCTGTCCCCACAACGCACGCTCTCCAGCGCGTCCGCAAGCGTGGTGGGGACCCCGGCTGCCGTGAGCACCGCAGCGCGCTGGCCGTACCGGTGGTCGTGGGTGCCATGGGGCTTTCCACCATCGGCACAGCGTGCGGCGCAGTATAGAAGCGGATCGGAATACGACGCATGGGCACGTGCTGAGTGTTGCCGTGGGCTGTCGCGCGCCGGCCGGGGACAAGCTTCGCGGCAAGCCGCTCGAACGCGGCGTGATCGTCTGCGGTGAGTGCAGTAGGGACGCCAGCGCACTCGTTTGCAGGGTGTGCCACAGCATGTCCTGGTCCTCGCGCGGCAGCGCGAGCACCCGCTTGCACGTGCCCCAGCGCACATATTCGGCCTCCTTCACCCGCGCCATGAACCACTGTTGGCTCCCAGGCAGCGTCGCGTACGTCGCGAGCAGCTCGCGCGCTGCCGGGGGATCAAAGTGGAGTGTGAGCGCCCAGGGGAGGTGCGCTGCGGACGCCGCCGTGTGGAAGTCATACAGGAGACCCAGAGGCCACTGCCATCGCAGCGGCGATCCGCGGTGCTCAAACCAGCAGTCTTCGCGGCGCACGCACTGCAGCTCGATGGGGAGGAGAAGGCGGGGGAGCCATTCAGTCTCAATGCGGTGCAGCAGCATCGCCAGGTATGAGACGCGCGCAGCATTCACATACACGGCGGGGAGGCGCCGGTCCACACGGTCCGCCAGGCCCGTGAATGTGATGCATAAGGGGACGTGCGCGTCCCACGCGCGGGACGATGGCACGGGCACGGATGTTTGGGAACGTGCCCGAGGAGAGGACGCGTGCGGTGGCGCCGCCGTCGCGTCTTGGGTTGCCGCATCCGGCGGGTGTTCCTGTGACGCATTGTGCGCGGGGCTGCTCGCCGGAGACGCGCTGGGCGTGTCTGGTGACTTTGTCTCTTCGTATCCCGCCGCGCTTCCTGTCCCCTCGTGCTTCTCCTCTACGCCACGGGTGACATGCGCCATGCAGTGGCCGTTCCCTCTGCAGTGGCAGCCTACAGCGGCATTGTACTGGCTACGGCGCGACGCATGGGCCTCTACACGTGACGTATCCTCCGCCGCTGGCACGCCCGGTGGGATATGTGCAGCATGACTCCTTTGTAGGACAACGGTTGGGGCATGTGGTCTAGTGGTATGACGTCTGCTTCGCATTCTAATTGCGACCGAACGGGCTTCGTTGTCTCGATTAGCAGAAGGTCCCGGGTTCAAGTCCCGTCTTGTCCATTCTTTTTGCTGGCTATGCAAGTGGTGATTTAGGGGGGGAAGGCTGGCATGCTGCGAGGGCACCACTGTCTGCGAGCCGCCTCCGTTCCCCTTGGCTGCTGACGAGTTCGACTTGCCCATGCGTACCCATTCCTGTAATGCCCCTCGTCGTGCCGCGGTCGCCTCTCCCTCCCCCTCACCCTCACCCACCAGCTCATGCCGGCAGATTCGCATTCGTTGGCGAACGGTGGGGGCATGTGGTCTAGTGGTATGACGTCTGCTTCGCATTCTAATTGCGACCAAACGGGCTTCGTTGTCTCGATTAGCAGAAGGTCCCGGGTTCAAATCCCGTCTTGTCCATTCTTTTTGCCCGCCCAGCGCTTGACACGGACACTGGTGTTGATTGGATTTGTACGAAAGCCAAATGGGGCATTTTTTTCTGTATTTTTCAGTCGAAAAGAAAAGGGGGCGTCGAGGGCCCCTCGTGCGGATCGGGGAGCAGCGCAGCGTACGGGACGGCAGACTAACGGGGGGCTGGCACAGCCTCGAACTCTACGGCCTAGCAAAGTGCTCTTCAACCACGCCTCTTTTCACTCCCACCACTCCGTACCGCCCTCTTCTCCCCCCATCTCGATGGTTCGTACACGCTACATCAGTACCTGGGACGTCCCTCTTTCGCAACCCCCCACGCGACGCCCTTTCTCCACACCCATGTAGTGTCCATTGTACAACAACGCGGAGGCGTCAACACGGAGCAACGTCACAAAAGGCGAAACCTCGAACCGCCTGTGCCATACGCCTTAGAAACGACTCCGATCCTCGTAGGAGCGCGAGCCGCGCATCGGCGAGCGCTCGCGCTCACGTTGGTGCGTCGGCGCATCCCCTCGACCCCCGCCCGGGGCGGGCGGACGCCCCCGCGGATCGGCGCCCTGCGGTGCGGCGGCGCGCGCGCCGGCGCCCCAGGCGTTCGACGCGCCCGCATCGGCCCCGGGCACGGCGCCACTGTACGCCGCGCGCATGTACGCGGCCATCGCAGGGTTCGCACCCATCGCGGGGTTCGCACCCCCCATGGCGGAGTTCGCCATACCCGGGGCCGCTCCGGGCGCACTGGCGCCGCCCCAGCCGCCCTTGGCGGCGGTGCCACTCATGTAGGCAGCCATCATCTGCTGCCAGACCAACTGCGGGTTCCACGCGGACGAGCCCCAGCCCATCTGCTGGTACATCTTCGCCATGGCCTGCGGGTCGAACTTGCCCTGCGCGGGCGCGGCGGCGGCGGGCGCAGGCGCCTTGCCTGCATCGCCCGCGGGGGCGGCGGGCGCGCCCCACATGCGGAGCGGCGCATTCCCGCGGCCCGCGCTGTCGCGGGCCGGGGCGACGGGCGCCTGGGCAGGCTGCCCGCGGGACTGCGCGCGCTTCACCTCGATCTGCTTGCCGTCGAGCATGAGCGGCTGGTTGCCGAGCGTGCGCTCAACGCCGTCGTCGTTCTCAAAGGTCACAAAGCCAAACCCACGCGGACGCCCCGTATCCTTGTCCATCATCACCGTACTGTCGAGCACATGCCCAAACTGCTGAAAGAGACGCTTAAACGAGTCCTGCGTGACCGTCTGTGGGAGGCCGCCGACGAAGCACTTCTGCGTCTTGGACTGCTCGGGGCGGGGGATCGCGCGCTTCGGGTCGATCTGACGTTAGGCGGCCGGCGCGCGACACGCACGATCTTGCCGTCGAGATAGTGCTCGCGGACCATGACCGCGTTCACGGACTTGGGGTCCGCGAACGTGATGAACGCGAACCCGCGCGAGCGCCCCGAGGGGCCGTCACGCATCACTGTGCACGAGCTCACAGGGCCGAACTGGCCAAAGTACTTGCGCAGGCCCTCTTCGCTCGTGTCCCAGTTCAGCCCGCCAACGAACATCTTTCTGCATCCGCGTCAGTGTGTGCCGCGCGCGATGCACCGCGGCGGCGGCTCGGGGTGTGCCCCGCCATGCTAGGTCCTAACAAGGTTCTCCGTCTATGACAGGCTACTGCCCGTCTACCGCCCAGCCGGCGATGCATCCGACCGGCAGCTACGCACCCTTCATCTGGAAGATCCTGTGGTGCAATGTTCTCGCCGCGCGCCGCGGCTGCCGTGCGCTCCTCCGCGCTCGGAGCCCCCGGAGCGAGCGGCTGCTGCCCGGGGATGAACGCGCCCGGCACGCCTGCCGCCGCCGCGGCCGGCGCCGCGTCTGCGGGCAGCGCCGGTGCCGCTGCGGGCGCCGCCTCCACCGGCGCACTCACGGCGGGCGTCTCTGCGGCGCTCGCGTCCTCCCCGTACAGGTCCGCATACAGGTCATCCGCCTCGTCTGCCTTGGACATCTTGGCTAACACGGAACGCAGCGGCGGCCCGCTGCTGCCGCGCCCGCAGACGCACGCTGACTCAGCGCACGTGACCAACGCGGCGGAGATGCAAGGGGGGGGGGGGGCGACGGGCGCGTGTGGCGTCGCGAGCAACCGCCGCGCACAGAGCCCGCGAGACACGTCGCGAGACACGTCGCTTCGGCTCGTCGCTTCGGCTCGTCGCTCCGCCTGCGCAGCGTGCAGTGCATACGAGTGTACACACGGATCATGTCTCTGCAGAGCTCCGTGTCCGCGTCGCGGCGCGGCCTTACGGACGGCGACGTGTATGTGTTCGCGCTGCAGACGGCGTATCTCGCGTATCTGGTTGCGACGGCCGGCGCGGCGGCCGCGGCGCCGGAGCCGCCGGCGGCCGAGCCAGTCGCCGCGCGCGCCGTGGTGCGGCATGCGCATGAGCGCACGGGTGAGGCGGCGCGGCTGAACATCGCGTCGCTCGCCGACCGCATGCGTGAGCTGCGCGTGAATGCGCTGTCTAGTCGCGCACGATACCCCGAGAAGCTGGTGCGCAAGCTGTGCGAGCGCCTGGAGCGCATCGCCATGGGCCGCGACGCGCAGTACAGCCAGCCGCTCTTCCGGCAGACGGTCGGCTCCTACTACGGTACGCTCGGCGATCCCGCGACGCAGAAGCGCCTCCGCGAGAACCGCAGCATCGAAGAGATCATCCTCCTCTTTATCTCCTCCGCGCAGGCCGTGCTGAAGAAGCACATCGCCGCGGACGCGGAGCGGAAGCAGGAGCTCGACGTGGCCGTGTCCCTGTTCGCCGACATCCTGCGCGACACGCTTCGTTCCATCGCCGGCGTGCCGCGGGAGCTCGTTGAGCGGGTCGATGAGTATGTTACGCTGATGGGCGGGGGGGGACGGGGGAGCAAGGGGGCGGGCGGCCCTGGAGGCGCGGGCGGCGCAAAACTGCCCGCGTCCCCTCCACCCCCGCCGCTCGCGGCCAGCCGACTGCCCTCGTCCCCTCCCGCGCCGCCGCCCGCGGGCGCCGCGAAACTGCCGGCCGCACCGCCGGCCTCCCCCCCTCCCCCCCCGGGCGCCGCGGTGGACTTCCCCGCGGTGCGCGCGGTCGCGGCACTGTTCGCGGTGGGCGACGAGCAGCTCGCGCTGGACGTGTCGTCGGTCAGGAGCACCGCGACGCTCGTCGCGGGCATGGTCGACCTGAAGCGGTGCGTATTCCGCATCAACACGCAGGCGGCGTGGCCCGCGGCGCCAGACGACTTTGTGTCGCCAGAAGAGTACCGGCGATGGAAGTCCGCGGAGCTTTCGCGGCTCTCCCAACTCATGGTCGAGCTGTGCCGCGCGAACCCGTCTCTCCTCAGCTCGCCGTCGGCGGCGGACAGTACGTCCAAGGGCGCGCGCCGCGAGCGGCGCGCCAGCGTCGCACTGCCGGACGCCGCGCCCGTCGCCGCGCTCACGGGCGACGAGGGCGCGATGGACGACGAGTTCACATACATCCCGCCGGACGTGTCCGCCGCGTACCAGCGGCTGCTGGAGAAATGCCTCGACGCGGACCTGGAGGCGATCCGCAACAAGACCGGCGACGAGGAGGTGTCGCTCACCGTGCTGTCCGCGGCGCATGCAGACCTGCTCGCGACGATCGCGACGTGGTGGCGCGTCCCGGAGCCGCTCCCGCCGCTCGCGCTGCTGCGCGTAATGAAGACCAAGTTCGACACGGACGAGGTCCCGCTCGAGTGCGTATCCGAGGCGCTCCAGAGCGTGGAGCGCCTCCTCGCGGACGCGGACGCGGCGACGTGGCGCATCCAGGAGCGCAGGCTCCTCGCGCGCACGCTCGACGCACTCACAGATACCCTGCTGCGCACCGTGTACGCGCACTTCCAGGAGCCCCGCGCGACACGCGACGTGGAGCTCGCGACCGCGGTCGCGCTCGTCGAGCACGTCCAGCGCGTGCGCGCAGCGCCGGCACTCGCGGCGCCGGCGGCCGACCGGAGCGCGCGGCAAATCGCGGACCTTACCGAGGCGGTGCGTCTCTCCGCGATGCAGCGGTACACCGCGCAGACCACGGAGCTGTTCGCCGGGGGCGAGCCGGACCTGCTGCACGCGTCGCTGGCGCTCGCGCGCTGGGTGCAGCACACGGCCGCGGCGCAGCGCGCGCAGTTCCCCGCGCCGATGCTGGGCGTCGACGCGGCGGACACGGTCGCGGAGAAGCTCGTCGCGCTGTACCTGGACGACCTCGAGTCCCTGCGCGCGGGCATCCTGCAGCAGACCGCGCTCGCCGCCGACCTCGATACGGTGCAGACGGCGCTCGCACTGCTCGGCGAGGTGCGCGCGCTCCTCGCGCTGTACGCGGGCACGCGTGCGCCGCTGCCGCTCGCGTTCGACGTGCGCCGCTGGTTCGCGCCGTATGTGGAGCAGTGGATGGTGCTCACGGAGCGGCGGGCCCGCGAGTGGGTGCAGAACGCGGTGCAGAACGACACGTTCGCGCCGATCGACAGCGAGGGTGCGGTGCACAGCAGCTCGATCAACGACCTGTTCGATGCCCTGCAGCAGCCGGTGCAGTTCCTGCTGGGCCTGCAGTGGCCGGACGCATACGAGAACGCATGCTTCCTCACCAAGATCACGCAGGCGACGGGGCGCCTCGTCGAGCAGTACTGCCGCCTCGTCGAGGATCT